TATAAGGAGGCACTTGGACCAAAGCATATATCCACACTTGATATAGTTGGGAACCTAGGCATCCTCTATACAATGCAAGGCAAGCTAGTAGAGGCGGAGGTGATGTACACTTGGGCGCTGCAAGGCTATAAGGAGGCACTTAGTCCTGAACTTTTACTGGTTCATTTACCAGCATTAAATACTATGTGGGGGTTTGGCGATCTCTTCTCACAGACAGGTCGAAAAGAGATGGCGAAGGTAATGTATAGTCAGGCATTAGCTGGATATACAACCGTCCAAGGACCTTCTTTGAAATGGTGTAGGCAGCTTGAAGATCGACTTCAAGCGTTATAAATTACGTCTGCTATGAAAATAGGTTAGGATGAGTTTATAGAGCTTGGAGCAGCAATCTTGAGGTTATTCAAAGCCTCGATTGATCTCTAATTCGTCCATACTTTGCGAAAGTTGCTCTTGTCTCGGTGGCCTTTATGTTGGGACTATTGGCAATTTGGGAACGAGTGTTTTGCCATTTCCTTTGTTGATATTACGCAATCATGATTATTTGCAAGCTGACTGTGTGAACGAGGCTCGAGATTCTGAGACTTTGCGTTTCTGCCATCCCCGCCACTTTGAGCTCTCACAGCTATATCCGTGTTACATCCGCTGTACATCCCATCTGATGAAATATAAAACATTATTCTGACGCTTGATCTGCTGCACCCCCCAGAAACGGTGCATCCTATTCTCACCTCACCATTCTTCTACAGACACCAGTCCCAGCCATACCACTTCTCACTATGTCTGATCATATCAGAACTCGCGTGTTGGCCGGCATTACTGTCTCCGACACACCTCTTATCACCAAGGCCCTTGCCTACGCTCGCAAACACCTTAACGACAGTGCCTACAACCACGTCGTACGATCTTGGCTATTCGGCCATGTCATTGCTTCCCAGATCCCCGACTTTCAGAAGCACGACGAAGAGCTCCACGCCATTGCCGCCATTCTACACGATTTGGGATGGGACAAAACTGACGAGCTCGTCTCCAAGGACAAGAGGTTTGAGATTGACGGTGCAAACGCTGCCCGTGACTTCATCGCTCGAGAAGGAGAGATGAAGGATTGGGACAATCACCGTCTTCAGTTGGCATGGGATGCCATTGCTTTGCATACTACCGGCTCAATTGCACTGCACAAAGAAATTGAGGTGCGAATTTGTTGTATTGGGATCATTACCGACTTTACAGGCCCCGAAATGAGTCCTGGCGGTGTGTTGACGAGGGGCGTATGGGATGCCATTGTTGAACAGTTTCCAAGACCTGGATTCGCGAAAGATGTGGTCGATACTCTTTGTGGGATTTGTCGGAACAAGCCTGAGACCACCTATGATAATTTCGTGGCGGATTTTGGGTTAGCATATGTGGAGGGGTACAATTTGAAGGGGAACAGACTCGTTGATATTTTGGAAGCTGCTGAGTAGTAGGCCCTATACTTATGGTACGCTTTGATACTAGGAATACCATCTTCATTTTGAGATACCCATTGGGCCATTGGTGTCAGACGATGGGATAGGTTCCACTCGGTGCGAATATCAGGTGTTGTCTCTCAATTGAGACAGTGAACTTTCTTCTTTCTGCAGTCACCGCGGTGTTAGTCTCACTTGCAATAATCCTGAAAACAATCCATGAAATGTACAGGTGTCGGCGATTTGGAAACGCAGTCGAATTTTCATTATTGCATCATGACTTGATTCATGTTCTATCGTGTCTTCCTTCCTTTCGTTTGCCTCTCTCGTCGCCATAATTCTGAGCGGGTAGCTCAACCGTTTGATTTGTGGCAATTTAATTGATTCTGGAGATGAACAAAGTTGTCCACTATATTTAGTACGTAAATCGTGAATTGCAACCATGCACCTCCCGAATCAGGCAAAAGAGGGCATTTCCTGCATGAACCTAATTCGCCCCAGCGCCACCCAAACACGAGATCGCCTGGCGATCTCCGATGATTCGAGCATGGTTCTTCGGTACTTGGTTCCCGCTTACCAAATCTACCAATCAGCGATTCTCGTGAGTCCTTCCCTTTTATATGTGCGTACCCCGATTAGGCAGGCGGCAGACTTGCTTTTATTAAGGCCTTGTTGGCGGCTCTCAGCACAGTGTGAACTCCCTATCACAGACGAAATGGCATATAAGTAACGTTGATCCATATTATAAGCTTTAAACCCTTGCACTGACCCGCCAAATTCCAAGACCGTCCCGCATGCTAAGCTTTTCTAGGCACTTCCCCAAGGGTGTTTCGGTATTCCCATGCTCGTATCTTTTTATCCTGTTAATCATGGTACACACCTTCCCTGCTCTGCCTCTTCTCGCGGTACTGTACAGTAGAACCCCTCACCGTAGAAGCTTTGATTATTCCTTATACCTTCTCTTTCGGGGAGTCTCCGTTCTGTCCGGTGCTTAATTTTGAATATTGCACGCCACGTGCAATGTCTAGAAAATATCACATAAAGGTGGAGCGTATTCACAATAAATAGAGATCTTCTAGCTGGTCTTCCCACCTTCAACAACAAGAGGAAAAGTCCACCAACATTCCCTTGCGCCCGCTGAACTTCACGATAGCAAAATGCTTTTCCAACTTTCTTATGCCTTGGTTGGCTTGGTACTTCCTTTAGTACAAGCTATGCCAGCTAATAGCTTCGAAGAAAGGGACGTCCCAGCTCATATACGGGGAAAGCGCTCATTCTATGATGATGACGGAGTTAATCGAACTGTTTTCGAGCATGAAGCCACAGGTACTTCAATGGTAGGCTTATTCTCATACCGAAATTCTGATTTCCTCTATAAAAGCCGAGAATCCTTGAAACTGTCTTGGGAGTCATTACGCAAGCTTTTGTGGCAGCTTCGCGGCTCCCTCGAAACTCACATTTAAAACATGCTGATTTATTGGAAAAGGACTTCGTAACAAACTCAGGGATCTGCGAGACTACTGCTGGAGTAAACCAATACTCAGGGTATCTCACTACTGGTAGTAAGTGAAATGTCTGTCGTTCTGTCCGAAGCACTGAGCTAACGTCAACATCCAGCCGGCGAGCACATGTGGTTTTGGTTCTTTGAAGCACGCAATTCTCCCACTACGGCTCCCCTATCAACCTGGTTCAATGGCGGTCCTGGTTGCTCCTCGATGATTGGCCTGTTCCAGGAAAACGGTCCTTGTCATTTCGTTGATGGCTCCTCCACGCCCTCGTTAAATCCGTACAGCTTCAACGAGTATGCAAACATGTTATATGTCGACCAACCAATAGGCACTGGATTCTCGTACGGAACCGACACGGTAACATCGACAGTGACTGCAGCTCCTGTGGTGTGGGCCTTACTTCAAGCTTTCTTTGCACAGTTTACACAATACGAAAGCCGAGACTTTGGAATCTTCACCGAATCCTACGGAGGACATTACGGCCCGGAGTTTGCCTCATACTTTGAATCCCAAAATGCAGCCATCGCTGCAGGAACTGTGACGGGCCAAAATGTCTCGCTTGTTGCCTTGGGAATTAATAACGGATGGTACGATTCGACTATTCAGCAAAAGGCATACGTTGACTTCAGGTGAGTTCGGATATAACCTTTGCTACCTTGAATATGTCAGCAGTAGTAAACCCTCAAACAAGCCTGGGGATAAGCTACTCTTGAAAAATATATCTCAACCCGGAGTGCTCGGTTAAGAGCAGTACGTGCTGACTCTAAAATCTTGATGTTTAGTTATAACAACACCTGGAAATCTCTGATTTCTGCTTCTGAGCACAAGTCATATCTCAGCACTTACAACAGCGACTGTCTTCCTCTGCTCAAAGAATGTTCCTCGACGACGGGCTCAGACTCGGCTTGTGAGAATGCAGACAACACTTGTTATAATGACATCGAGGGCCCACTCTCAGAAATAGGAGACTTCGATGTCTACGACATCCGCGAGCCATCAGATGATCCCTATCCACCGTCCACCTACTCCACCTACCTGCAATCATCATCAGTCGTAAAGGCAATCGGTGCAAAGAGCACATATAGTGAATGTCCCGACGCGCCCTACGAGAAATTCGCAAACACCGGTGATGGTACGTTATTCTTTTGATTCTCCTTCCGTTTACTAAGATAATCTAGATGCGCGCTCCTTCCTCTCGACTCTGTCCAAGGTGGTCCGGTCCGGCATAACCGTCACACTCTGGGCGGGAGATGCAGACTGGATCTGTAACTGGTTCGGGGGTCTGGTAGTTGCAGATTCGGTAACCTACTCCGGCTCATCTGCTTTCGCCAGTAAGGCAGTAACGAATTACACTGTCGACGGTACCGCAGGAGGAACTTTCAAGACCGAGGGCAATTTGAGCTGGTTGAGAGTCTTTGGGGCTGGACATGAGGTTCCGTATTACCAACCCAAGTTGGCGCTGCAAGTCTTCAAGCAGACGATGCAGAAGCAGCCTTTGTCTTCTACATGAGTAATTATTGATGATTGATGAGAGATGAGTATGTATTGACTTTTGGATTCAAGTCTCGAGTTGGCATATAAACAATAACTGCTACTCATAATACAAAAATCACTTCACTGTCGAACTCCGTCTCTTTGCCACTATCATACTATAATCGTGTATTTTTAAAACAAACTTTCATGCATTCCATTGTGCGTTGTTATTGCGTTTTGTTAGTGAATCACAGCCAGAAATCCATAACTCGAAGGACAGCAAACTCTGCTCCTGATCCATTTCGCCAAATTCTCTACTGTCTGGGCGTGAGCGTACGTTCGCCAATCCTCACCACTCATAAAGTTTCCAGGGTCCCAAACTACCCAGCTTACCAGAACCATCACTACATCGAAATACTCACCACACTATCCGCACCATCCACAAAACCCAGCATTTTGTATCCACTCAACATGGCATCTTAGCCTCAAAAGCCGCGTTGCCGCGCACCAAGCGGACGTACTGGAACACCGGTGGGGCTCTCCACTTGCCTCGACGGATGTCGGGGTCGATACGCGGAGGTGGATGGAGTTTTTCTACAGGAACGGAAAGGCACTTGGTCTTTCCGCGACTCAGATGAAGATTTTGGTTCATAGAGGGGCGATGAGGAAATTGTGGAGTGATTTGCATTTGCATTTGGGTGGGGATGAGGAAGTGGGAGTTCATGCTGCTGCTCCTGCTGGTGGAGGGAACGATGTATGAGAAGAGATGAGGGGTGTGAGTTGGGATTCTGGAATTATTGTTATTCTTTAAGTGCAGGTTACTGACCCGATGTTAGTAATACGTTGGCGGAAGGGTTTCGGACTTCTTTCGATTAGGAAACATTATCTAGCCAAACTAGGAGCTTATGTTTGGGGTACAGGAGTACAGAGTATCTGCGTATCTACGCTGCGGAAAGATATATTGGTCACAAATATAGATTGCATGCTACTTTCTTCAGGCTGCTGCTATTCATATAATTTCGAGTTTCTTTAACATGATTGCTGTCTTTGTTAAATGGAATTTTCCGGTTGTTATATTGTTCATTCACTGCTTATAACATGCTCATGTTGGAATTTTGCTCTTTTGCATTATTGCCACTCTCCTTTAAGTTCAAGTTAAGGCTAATACTCAACTCAAATAAGTTATTTTACACGCTTATTGCCCACCCACCCTATAAAATAAAAGCTCCGAGAACCCCGAATAAAGTATTCTTGAGGTTTCGTTCGCAAGTCCCGTGGTCTAGTTGCAAAGTATCATGTGATAATGCAACGTATATTTACGTTGGTAGGTAAGGCTGGGAAGTGAAAATTTCGGATGTTACGGAGGTAGGCTGTATACTGCAATTGGTTCGTAAATCTAGACTATTCATCATATAGAGGAAGATATAAACGAATGAAAGGCGGCTATACGTGATACAATATCTGCCAATTTTGCCTTGTGTGACATGAAACCAACAATCTCCAAATTGCGTCGCTAACATCATTCCCAACAATTCTCGTCCAATATCCAGACCGGTTATTCTAACTCCTCTTGGTGAAATCATATGAACGTCCCGCCATTGTATCAGTTCACCTTTTAGACTGCCACTGAGTGACAGTCACTCAGATCAGTCAAAGATTATCGATTGAAATCCAGCCTGCGCCACGCGAAAGATCTTTTCAATCAGTCCGAGAGTACGGGTTCTACCACAATGCCTCCCAGCTACACGTTACCAGATGAGATCTTCGTCGAGATCATGTCCCTTTTCCCTGCCACGTCGCTTCCTTCACTTGCATTAACCTCCCGCAAAATCCATCACATTTCAAACCCTTGAATATACCGGTTTGGCGCAAGAGATTGGAGTGTATTTGAAGGCGATGTCAAGCATCATCAAGGAACGGGGACCTCAACCATCGAACCAATCTACTTGCGAAGGACCGTACCTCTTGATAAAGAGTGAGTCAACCTCATTTCATCTTGCCATATTTCAAAAGATGCACGCCCTATTTCCACAAATTATGTTATGCTTGATCTGATGAGTCAGGTATTACCTGCATCGTTATTCCGGAACTATTAACAGGACAAATATTAATCCTTTAATCTTTTCAGTCAAGAGGTAATCTTGAGTTGGCCAAAGGCACTGAAACATTTTCATATGGATGCCCAAGATGCCGTAACGAACAATCGTGCCAGCTGGGATCGCTTGCTCTTCTCTGCAATTCGTCTCATTACAGTACTTGGGCGTCAATGGTCAACGCTGGAAGAATACACATTTACCGGCAGAGTGGACTATTTCAGAAGCGATATTTCAATATACGGGAGCTTGAGGAATTTCACAGCTATGAAACGTCTTGCTACTTAGAAAGCCAGAATTTGAAAATTTTCACAGTGGCAGAAGAATAGCTACGTAGCTATTGGGACCTCACCAACAAGTCTTTTCCAGCAACTTCCCGGAAAGCTAGAGCAGCACTGCCTGCTAGTCGAGTGGAAGTTCCGGTGGTTCATCGAGAGGCGCTTGCTTGAACAGGTCATGAGTCATGACAATTTCAGGTATGGAAATGAGAGATTGGCTTCTTCAGATTGCGCTTCACAAAGCCGACAGATTCCCAGCATTGAGAAATGTCAAAATATGGAAAATATGGAAACCTGCTCAAGATGAGAGCTCAGACGAAGCTTTGCTTCCCGCGATATTCTGACAGGAAATACTTTCAGCCTTTGATGAAGTAGGAATTGCGATCTCATACAAAAAGTTTCAGATAACTCGGGATAACTTTGATCCATTTAGGCAATAGATAATCGCACCTGGTGCAAGCTTGGGGGCCATGGTGTGTACCACAAGCCTTGTTTGTTCTCTTGGAAATCTTCCAATGGAAACTAGGGCTTACCAAGAACTTCTATCTTGCCATGTGAAAATTAACTTCGCCGAACTACTGAGTCTTCTGTGACAGGGGTTACCACATTGAATGAGGGGGAAAGAGGGGATTTAAGGTATCTTGCGGGCCGTGGTTAGAATATATATGGGGTCTCAAGAGATACGGTAGTGACGTTGAGTCCGTAGTCCGTACTGGTAGCGCTCGTACCTTGAATCCTTGAGCAGATCACACGTATATTATCGAATTATATTAAGTTTCATTGAAGCTTGCTGCCCGTAAAGGCAACTATAGTGCATATCATCGCGGCAGATGCAGCTAATATCTCAGCTGCTGTAGTCGTGCCTCATTGTACTCCCCCCCCCCCCCCCCCCCCCCTTAATAAAGGTTAAATCACGTAAAGCCCCCACAATACGTAGAATCCTATGGAACTGAATGGCTAGAAACCCTTGAAGTGGCCCGTGAAGGGTACTCGTAAGGTCCTTGTAAGGTCCCACTAAGCCCTAGACGTAGTGATATCATTTGCTGAATTCCCCTGTTTACACGGTGGGGCGAAGGATCATTAACCTTTATTAAGGGGGGGGGAGAGTACAAGCTGTTATCTGTAGCAACACACCTTGTAGGGTATGTTATCGGCGCTCGCATGACGCATTGCTGTTCTAAGATGATTTAGTGTAAGTCTGTGCTATATTGTATAACTTAATTTGAATAGTTTATTTTTCAGTCGCAAGAAAAACTATGGTACTTCGTACGAAGTACATTTGAAACGACAGATCTGAGTCCTTAAAAGGGCACTACCAACTTACTACTATAAGGCGGGGTATTACTTATATTACCCCAAGACCCGCCTAACTGTGGCAAATATAATATCAACTAGCTGTAAAAGGCATAACCAGTGGTAATTGCGAAGTTATTCCGTACCGTCGGCGTTAAACGCGCGATTCTAATTTCTACCCCATATATCGTACTCGTACCAAACCGGTCCGGTACTTCGTATCAAGATGTCCAATGCATTCCTCCCCGCATCTACCTCCGTATGCTTGTCACTTGCCACCACCAAAGGGTTCTCCAGATTGCGAAGTAAAAATCTTAATTGGATCTGTGATTCTTGGGAGCTGAAAAGCGACACGGTGAGTGGCTGGGAGCGTCCCCACCCGGTGACCTTAATCAGTCTCAATCCGATGAAAATGCGGAGTCCGCGGGGTGCAAGGCAGGGATCTCCGCATCAAGCCTTCGGCCTATGGCCGAAAACGTGTTACAACACCGAACGCCTCGGACGCAACCAATTTGAATTTTTTTATTTTCTGGCATCTGATTTTGTTTTGATGAATGAGGAGTACAGCGCCGACAGAGCGCTGTCAAGGACAGTTATGAATTTGAAGCTGGTGAACTGCTAAAAAGTTTATGAGTAAATCGTTTGGATATATGGCTTCATAGAAAGTTTTACTGGTAAAAGTATACGGCCAGAGCTTCCCTTTTCAGTGTCACGATCTCATCTCACCGACAGCATTACCAAAGCTCAGACCCTGCTGCTGTAATCCCGGGTGTGCCTCCTTCTTTCGGAATCACATGCACAATGCGGAAATATTACCCTTGTTGTACAGTATGCGTTGGAATTATTGGCCCACCTTCCGATTTCTTTGTATCCTTGTTCGAGCGCTTGTCGTTCTTTCTCCAGAGTTCTCATAAGTCTCCACCTTCCCAGTATCCCCAGACTCAATCCTGGGGAACCTTTTCACCCAAGCTTCGCGACAATTATACAAGTCGTACTTGACTTCATTGTTATATTTGCGCGTTAATCTTCAAGATGAATAATAACTCGGATTCGGAGAAGGCAGTAGACGAGCAGTTTGAACAAAGAACTGCGTCCCCTGACGTGGGAAAAAGACAAAAGGTCAAGGCTCACTCCAAGAAGTGGTGGTGGATTTACTTGATATTATTTTGCGCTGGCTTCTTGATCATTACGCTTCCTATGTAAGTACCAGTCACGCACGCTACATGCCGCTTCCAATGAGGCCAAGGGCTGACAATTTGTTAAGAATCTATGTCGGTTTCCCCAACATCGCGCAACATGGAGTCAATAAAGCGCGCCTTGAAGTCACAGGATTGGAATTTTATAATCCCACCCCGGATCATATTGAAGTCACCGAGAGAATCATAACGCACAACCCTAGCATGTACACCCCAACTCTCGATCCATGGTCGGGTGGCACGTTTGTGGTGACGAATGGAACGTATTCGGAAAAAGCGATCCTTTACCTGCCGGTACCTAAAACCCACACAAAGCATCCTGTTTCAAACGCCGCCATCGTCAATGCGACAGTTCCAATCTATGACCAGGACCAGATCGCTCTGTACGCGACGCAACTTTTGACGCTGAAACAAGTTACCACAGCATTGGTGGGAAAACCATTGCTGCATATAGGAAAGCTTCCAGCGATACACGTCAAGTATAATGCTTCAACCACATACAATGGTAAGCCGGATGATCAGTTCGACTCGCCGACAATAGCTAACGGAAATAGGACTGAATGGTCTGCAAGGTTTCAATGTGACGAACATCAGGATTGACCCCGGCAACACACTCCTGATTCTACCAAATATGAACGGCACTGCCTTCATTCCCAACCCGTCTAACATCACTGTTGACATGGTAAGTGGCCTCACATCTGCAAATGACTTCCACAACGCTAACTAGACTACCAGGGAAATGTCACATTCTCCCTCAAGGACCCCAAAGGCGTTGAAGTCGGGAAAACTCTGATCGAGAATATGGTTCTCAGACCTGGTGATAACCACATTCCCTTGATCGGAATGTTGAACCAAACTTTGATACTGCCCTCTCTGGAGAACGGGTTTGCCAACCTCACAATCACTGGAACGGATGTTGTTTACAACGGGAAACATATAACATATTATGTGAGTTAGGACTTGACTGCAACAGAGATAAAGTTACTAATAATTTATTAGGAAAAAGCCTTAGCCGCCAACATCCTTCACTTACGCTTGAACGTCTTCCAGATTCTCAAAGACAGCCTGGGAGTATGATAACGGCGAGCGATTTAGCTGTGTACTCAGGAGGATAATTTAGAGCGATGTAATCATGCTGCAATAGCATAATATATGATTGAGAAGACCGGAATGAATGTATGAAATGGCTAGGTGGACGAAGCATTGGCATTAGAGGTACATATTTATCGGAGTTTGGCATGTGTGGACTTGGAGATTTTCTCCATTTGGAGAAAACTGTTCATCACAAGGGCGATGTCGTACAGTATTGCTATAGTAATGCATCAAATCAAATATGGGGGTTCGTTTGACATGTTTTTCGAAGTCCTACCTGGGTATGACTACTTCGGCACTTTCAAAACGTGATGCTTCCTTTCAGTGTTCTTTGTGACACCTTCACGCTCTTCTCATTGGGTCAATCAGTTGCTCTAACTTGGTAAACTGTTTGCGTAATTTGGAGTTCTCTGAATGCGTCCCTGCGTCTTAGTTTCTGGATGGGCCAGAGTCACGTATAACGTGTATGCTGAGTGTTCTTGACAACCCCAGAAATACAGCACCGTTGAAGATGCGAGTGCACCTTTAGTTAAAGCTTCAGTTGTCCAAACTCTACATGTTCACTCAACATTGCCTATGCGGGGTTCTTGATTTATTTTCAACCTGGAACATGTCACATGTCTTCCCCACAGCTGCTCCTAGGCATAGCAGAACCTTTCTTTATTAGTTGGGTCACTGTATAGTCTTTGCTATCCATACAAATCTTATAGAAACATATTTAATCACTATTAATTAATTGCGCTTGCTCTATAAGTTATATAGCGTTTAGTCTAGTAAAGACCTCCCAGTGTAGAGACTAAATATCGTGGAGGGTGGAATAGTTGCATTTTATTTTTGACGCTGTATTTATTGGAATAGACAGAATGTTCTCCACAAAACGGGGCTGTGACGCAGCGGTAGCGTGCTTCCTTAGCAATTCATTGAGTTGTAAGAAAGTGGAAGAAGTCAGGGGTTCGAGTCCTCTCTGCTCCAATTTTTTTTGTATGGAGTGTGTGTTTACTGTTCGCTTATGACAAGGGGGTGGGGTACGATCCGGTTGTTGGTATCTGGGAGGAAGAATGATTTTGTCGATTTTCTTTCCCTTTTTTTTATTGGGGGTTATCATTTAAAGTCACTAGAGCTGGAACTCTTGCTTGGTTATTTGATTTATTCGTTCCGAGTCGACAGCGGATATGCTAGACTTGGCGGAGTTCCTTCCCAAATTTCAGAACAAAGGGATTACTTTTCAAAAGCTAGGTAGACAGGTCACTTGAGAAGAATGAAAAAGGAAAGAAGAAACTCGATTGCGAAGGAGAACTCGCTATGTTTTACTCGAACTTATTGAGTCGTCCCTTCCACCGTAAAGGTCCACGCTTCATCCTGAGCCCAGAAGTTTCACCTCTAGACACTTTCTACACCATGCTGCCTAGGAAGCACCAAAGCGCCTTCAACATCCCTCGGCTCGAAGTCAAGACCGCCAAATGCAAACTTCGCAATATCCATCCCATAATTCGTCATTAACCAGCTCGCAAACATATCCATTCCCGCACAGGCCCCACCAGCAGTCCAAATATTGCCATCAACAACCCACTGCTTCTTCTGCCATTTGACATTCGGCGCCATCTGCTTGGCCATGTCCAAGAATGCATGATTGACGGTTGCGTTCTTCCCATCCAAGACCCCCGACGTTGCAACCGCCAGTGCTCCCGTACACGTAGTAAACAGGACTTTTCCATCCGCAACATGTTTCTGAATGAATTCTGAAAATCGCGGCGATAGCTTATATGCCAAGGGATCGGGACCGCCTACGAGTAGGAAATCAAGTGGAGGACAGGTATCGCAGGTCGTGGAGGGCATAAGACGCACGTTTGCAGTGAGGCTCAGGGGCTCGAGTGTCTCGTTAATGTGGTGGAACTCGATGTCGATGGCTTTGGCGGTCATGCCTTTCATGCCGGGTAGACCTGCCCCTTCGAAGGGCGCGATGATAGTTTTAGAGGCACTGGAGAGGATGTCGAGGGGACCGATTGCGTCGATTGTTTGGTAGGGAATCATGAGGACGCCGAATTGGAGGGGTGCCATGGTGATTGATGGAGTTAGGAGCTGATGTGGAAAGAGGATCGTTATGGGGAGTTAGACTAATGAGGTTTGTGCATGTTCAGTTGGGACTCGTTATATAGTCGTGGGTGACGGGGAAATACATCACCGGAAGTATTAAGATGCACTGAAAGACCCGAATCGCCGGATTTACGGAGATAGACGACTTGACGGAACGGAGTTGAGCTGGGCGGCGGGGATGTAGTGGGGTTAAACCAAAGCACATTCAATAGTGCGTTTACTGTACCTCGTAGGTATGTATTTTCTAAAGGTAGGTTGCGGAATGGGTGATCTGGGGGGGGGGGGGGTTAGTCACGTGCTAGTAGTGATTTACTTGGCTGGTGTTCGCCTTTTCATTTTAGCACCTAATGGGGAACTTAAAGGTCGAAGAGAAGCCTAGATAGGCACTAAAATGCCACGAGCCAAATTTCATGGGAGATAAAGTATATTGAGGATTTGATACCCGCCTTCTTCTGAAGGGAGGCTGTTGCGCTTCGAGATGAACTTTCTATTGAGAAGCAAAAGAAGCGGAGGCGGACGGGAGTTGTTTTGTAGAAGGAAATTGATCACTGGACGAGTTGTTTTACAATGAGTATTGTCGGTATGGCGAGATTAGGCCACGAGTTCAATACACTGGTGAACGTCAACTGGTCCGTAACTATGAGTATATTCTCGATCCGACAAAGATAAAGTGGGCTCTCTCTCACGAACCTGATTTGCAGCCGCATATCAAAACTTCAAAGGTTGGGAAGAGTACAGAACCATAACGCTGGACTTCGGGCAGAGGGAAGAGCTTTACGACCGCCGAGGTTATGATTCCCAAGTTCCCCTCTGACCCAAATATCAGCTTTCGGGCGTCGATACCAACAGATTCTCTGGGGTGAGCTTCGGATTTTTGCAGCATCCCGCTCTCAGTAATACATTCACATCCAAAACCACGTCCTCGATATTGCCGTACTTATTTTTCTTCATCCCACTTGCATTAGTAGCAACCCAGCCTCCTAAAGTCGAAAACTCAACACTGTCCGGCCCGTGACCCATGGTAAACCCCTCTTTTGCGAGGTCTTCCATGATATGACGACCGACAGCCCCTGCTTCAATGAATGCCATGCGATTGATACCGTCGATCCACTGTATTTTGTTCATTGGATGAAGGTCCACGGAAACAATCATTCTACTTTCATCAACAGGACATTCAAGTGCGTAAAAATGCGAAGTGTCTGAGGGAATTTGAAGGTAAAATCAAGTTCAGTTCAGCTGTTGGAACTGAAATCTGGAATAATTCACGTCAGATTCCATATAGCTCTTAAACTGAATTCTCATATTTCATATGTTCCCAACTTTCGCTTTGACGGTAACACTTCTCCGCGGTACTCTACACAGCTCTGACACCTGCCCAACTTGTACTTTACAACACCCACCCAACAAAGCCAAGTATGGCTACGATATTCCCGATAAATCCAGCCTGAGGTACCAGACTCATTAGCATACATCAAACTTACCACAAGCATATAGTAAACCTACCGGTTCAATTCTCTCGCCACCAGACTTGCTCTTAGCCGTCGGAGCACCAGTAGCCGCAGTCCCCGCAGCTGTTGTCGAGGCAGGCGTGGCAGGTGGACTCGTCTTCGCCGCCCCACCCGACGCAAAGGCCTCGAAGCATGCAACGGAGGTCGGAACCGCGCAGCAGGAATCAGGTCTCGACTGACTTAAACTCGTGCAGAATTGGCAGACGCCATCTGCTTGCTGCTGCTGTAGCTGGGGACTAATGCTGGATGAGAGGACGGTGGGGATTGCAGCTAGATCGTGCACGTAGTTTGTGCAGATGGTGAAGAAGGAGGACTGGAGGGGGGCGTTGTCGCCGTCGAAGGTTGCGGATACGGTGGGTGCGCCTAGGTATTGGGAGAAGAGGGCGGAGTTATCTTGGGCGAGGGAGACGTGGGCGAGGAAAAGGAGAGAGGGGATTGTGGCGAGAATTGGCTTCATGGTGGTAATTGTTGAGTTTTCCGAATGCTTGTGGAGTGCTGGCCGTGGTGTCTTACTGCCATTTGCATGGCGCGACAAAGCTTGAATAAGTACAAACAACGCACCGTATGAGGGAAAATGATCATTTTAGTAGGGTTACATTTCTGTCCCGTAGGAATATTGATATCTGCAGGATTTCAGCGACTGTTCTGCGCCAATTATAACGCTTGAATTTCTTGTCAGCCGCACCACTCCCCTGGACGTTCGCTAAATTGTTCTTCTTATAGCTCTCGTCCCGTCCCGTCCTGTTTCCCATGCAAGGCACCTGCAAATCCATTGGACGCCCAGTCTATCTTTGGTTCCGTCCGCAAAGGATTGGCCCTACCGGTATATGCAGACCAAACTAAACCCTCATATCAAACCTCCGAGCAAACGCCCCGCGCGTGAACGCTGCATTGTTTTCCCCTGGGAAACATTACACAGATAGAAAAAGTCTTTGAGAGAGTCACTCCATCACTCGACTGTCGCACGAATCCACATATCCAGCAAGGGCACGATTTCCATGCTGTTTTTCTCCATGAAACTGAAATGCGCATTTCCGCGAATCCCGATATCCTTCAACTGCAGCCACTCCGGCGTCACGCCCGCCTGCACCAGATAACTATACGTACAATGGTCGTAAAATGCGTGATAGCTCGCTTCAGTCGTGTACATCAGGATGGGGAATTTCTGCAGGTTCGGTAGCTGTTTTGCTGGCTCCGCCTGCATCAGACAATTGGCTAGATTGGGGTCCGTGGAGTTCACCCGCACTTTTATGAAGGCGTTGGCATCGGCTGTCAGGTTTACAGCAGGAGAGTAGGTGATGGGCGCGGTGGTAATGCCGTATGGACGTGCTGCACCAGTACGTTGGACTTGGTTCTCGAAGGGAGGTCCCTCTGGCTCGAGGGCGATTATGGCTTTTACGAGCTCGGGTCGCGAGTCGCCGATGCCCCAGCCATAAGGACCGCCTTGGGAGTGGGAAACAAGTACGCTGGCGCCAATTTTATCGAGGAGCGCGGAATAGGCGTCGACAACAGTTTGGGAGAAAGGACCATCGTTGGGTGCGGTTTGGATCTGGCTGGCGTAGAACTGATCGAACGTGGGATCACCAACTTCAGCAGTACCAGGCCACTGGGATGGTGGTTAGTTGGATGTCTGAGATAGGGCTGGGAATTGGGAGACTGACTTGGGTGTGGAGTACGGCTTGTGGCCATAGCTTGGTACGTTCTCCAGCGATGAAGTAATTTTGGACAAATGCAAGGCCAGTGGCTGTAGTGTTTAACAAAGCGCTGTCTGCCACGATCCATGGCGATCTTCCTCTTTTAACGTGGTCCGCCAAGTAGACAATGTATCCCTGGGAGAGGAAATATGAAGCCCAGCCTGCACGGTCATCAGGAGTGTTAAGCCAATTCTGGATGTGAACATTAGCGGCTGAGTTGCAAACGGGGGAGAATTTGTACGAACTGTTGCTGTCTGAAAGCCCCCCGTGATGAACACTATAGGGTACGCGTGGAGGACAACTGGAGGTTCCAATTTCTCGACATACATCTGGTCGGTAATGACCGACCCAGTGGTCTAAACAGTGTTGTCAGCTTCTGGGAATGCGGCTGAAGGTGGATTGAATTACCCCATTGATATACTTTCCTCCAACGTAAAAGTACGACCGTCGCGCGAAGACCTCCTCTTGTAGCGTAGCATTTAGACCGGGTAGTTGAGGATCGTACCATGACAACGAAGTCGCATTGATTGCTGCCGCAATAGCTGTGTACTGGGCAAAAACGTATAGCAATGAAAAGAACAGCATGATGAAGCTCTTCACAAATTTCTCAGTCAATAGATACAGACTATATCAAGATCTTTATGGAAAGAAAGCGGGAGAAAGTAAGCCCTTATATAAGGTAGCTTGAACACATAAGCAACATTACACTACTATATCGTGCCGAAATCCGTTTTGAGATGAAGTCGTGCGAAGCTCGAGTTACTGCGGGGCCCCCGCCCCCTTGTATTTTGTATTGTTAAGCGATCATGGAAGTGCCCCTCCCTCCGTCCACAATCCTTCAAGAAAATCGCCGGTCATCCATGACAAAACACACAAATCTTGCGAAGATGCAACTAAATGGGTAAGTAAGTTTGGCCATTGCATATCTGCCACCGGGCGATTGAAATCTGAGAGATATTGAAGTTGAAGATGCAAACAAGTCGGAAAGAAAGAGACACGTGGGAAACCGATTGCTTGGAGAGAGACCCCGGACTTCTGGCGCTCTTATCCAGAGAATCGATATAACTGGTCCCAGTAAGATGTCTCATGCATATCATCCCCTGCAGAAGCAGAAAATGCCTTGCCAACCACCCGAGTTTAGAAAATCCGATTTTCCAACCACCAAATTGGCGGCGGCAAAGGCGCTGGTACGGGTACGGGTACAAGAGCGGAGCGGGGTATATGTACCCCACTTTACTCGTTCAAAAGTCCTTTAATTCCCCTCAGCTAGCCAAGAAACCTATTCAAGCAGTCAAAAAGAGTCAAAGAAAGTTCCGTTTTTCTAAATTCGCTTTCTTGCCTCTTAGCTTTGCGTTTGCTTGATACTGGGGATGGGAAGGCATGACCTGATTCTTGGTTACTATCACATTGGTAGAAATTTACACCGTAGATCGGATGATGAATCTTTGTCCATACCGTACGTACTTGATGGCCAGTTGCACACAACGTGTCCGCAGAACACTGGAAGCAGGAGAAAGTGACATTGGATTTCCTCAATGTAATCGTGGTAGTTTTATTATTTGCACAGCATAGATATCGTACTAACTAGACCATAGACATCATGTATACAGTGTAGAAGTGTCGCCATCTCAACCATACAAGTACACTCGAAGATAGATTGGCAAGAGTGGGTTTCTCTCACTACTTTGGGGACAGGCAGGAGATATAGCTTGCTATGCGTGCACCTATATCTCCGTAGTAAGGGCGAAAGTTGTCCAGCCTCCGATTAATGTGTGAGTCTAAACTAAGTGCGCAGTCAGCTATTGCTGGTTGGTGTATATGAATTTCACGAAGCTGGCGAAAAATAGACTCACGATCACGGAACGGCCCTGGCCAACACTTGGCCCCAGCCAGCCCCCCTCACATATGTAAGTACACGGCCGTACTGTACCGCCGCTACGGAGTATTAATATAGCTGGTAGGAATTTACGATTTCAAAATATATAGATGAAACAAATCAAACGAAGGTAATAATGATGTTTTTGATCTGATCTGATAATACGGAGCACGAGCAAGAAACAAACAGACCAGAGACATGTGTCTTTGACTCGTATAGCACAATAAAAGGGTATATTATTATTATCACCAGGCATGTGAAAGGCACAATTTTACTTGTATAAATCTATAGTCTAAGAGCGGAAGCCGGGACGTTCCGTTGTCGTACCATACTGGTATAGTGATACGCTTATTTCGACTTTCCTTCAACATACTGTACACTCGTCCTACAAACTTCCTTTTAGCATAGAGATTTTGTGCGATCAGCGATCACAGGTAATACCAAAGAAGCTTCCTATTGATATGGCTCAGGTATACTTCTCAAGAGCGAAATCTGATAAATTTGAGCAGTGATGGTTTACAAAGTAATTGATCTATGAACCCGGCACGGTTTGACTTGGGCACCAGCGGAGCGAAGCACGGACAGTACTCTTGGCAGTTGAAGCTTTACTCGAGGTTGATTGGGCGGACGCGCAACAGGCCCCTTCTAGGCCTAGCTCTCTTAAGCCCAAATGGGGCTACTTCCTAAGTTTATATACTCCTTATTTACGTCAAAACTTTCAAGTAAAATCACAAGTCCGTGCCATGTAACGCTGTAACGCGACTCTGTAATGCTAGATTCATATTCCTACGTTGTATTAATTAGAAGATTACGCGAAAGTATATGCTGTTATTATATGTTGTGTCTGCGGTAAATCGAAATATCATCTGAAGTCTTCTCATTAGATGCTATTAGTGAGAACTTGGAAGTTATAAAGGTGGTACTGTAACGTACCTCCGTAGCCCGTTTGTAGATCTTTTCCACTACCGGTACTCCGGTACCAGCTTTAACGATCCTGCAGGAGGCGGACTACGGCGCGCCGCAGAAATTACCGGCATGAAGCTTGAACAAGTCTGGCTGACACTTGACACTCCCTAGAATTATATATTACGTATATTTCCGCACCACTTTAACAAGAGCTTAGATTGGACGAAGGTCACGAAACACGCAGTACAGGACAGGGCTGTTTAAAGTTTGAAGTCTAGCTTTAAGATTGGCTCGAAGTTTGCCATATACTGGGGTAAAGAGCCACTTATGTATGCGCCATTTTTTAGATGATTGCTAACTAGTGGGAAATATCAATCTTAAGAAAATGCAAGTATATGGGGTTCGGAAGCCGGTTAGGGGGCCGAGTTCTCAATACAACCTCTGGGCATGGAGAAAAGGGATCGATGAATGATACATGTTTGGCATGCTGCTACATCTCAATTTAGGATGAACAATGCGTGGAGAAAGAACTGTTTGAACGACCACTCAGACTCGGCCTCAAAGCCCGCAGATCATATATGTCTTGCTCGAGAATCTGAATCGCTGAAGATCTGCTCATACGAAAAACTGGAGACGGAGTTGCTCTCTTAGGGCTTTGGACAACTTACATCGGCTCGCTCTGCAAAGATGACAGGTTCAGCGTTGTTGAACAGCCCACCGGCAACACCTCAAGATGTCTTGATTCAAAAGGGAATGCGTCAGTTCAAAACGAAAATGAACCCCGTCAAGAGTCTTCCCTATGGACCACATCGCCCGTCGCCCGACTCCCCGGATGATTTCAGCGGGAATACCACACTTGGACTGGCGATCACTTTTCTAATCCTCATCGTCACCGTGACTATCGGTCGGTTCCTTGCCACAACTTGGAAGCGTGGTAGGAAATTTGGATTGGATGACTTTTTCCTCCTGATGGCGGCGCCCGTTGCGGCAGCTTATGTTTCTCTGACGGTCTACGAATTCGCGTCGAAGAAGTGTGCTGGGAGACATATGTGGTTCTGTACTTACGCAGACATCAACGAGATATACTTGGTAAGATCTCATCCTACGCAATGATTCCATGCAGCCTACTTGACGAGTACTAGATCTTCAACATCGACCAGACCATATTCTATTTCAGCGTGTATTGTGCAAAGATCTCGGTGCTGTACTACCTCCGCCGTCTGACAAACGCAGGGCCTGCCCTATACACCTATGCCCATTGGACCATCCTCGTGATCTTGGTCTCGTGTGGTCTCATTTCGTTATTCGGGACCGCTTTCCAATGCATGCCCATTGCAGGCCGTTGGAGCTTTGAAACACTGGCCAATATTACCCCAGAACAGTATAAATGCATGAACAATATAAAGTTCCAGCTTGGGGTCCGAGGCATGCATATCGGAACCGACTTTCTCCTACTCCTGTTTCCCATCTTCGTCTTGAGCAGACTCAACCTTCCCCTCGGTAAGAAGATTGGCATTTGTCTCGTTTTCTCTACGGGGACGGTGTGTATCGTGTCCAGTCTGGTCCGGAATGTCATCTATTCAAAGCGAAGAAAGGACTACCCATGTACGCATCCGTCCATCCTCCCACCTACTAACCGATATACTAATGTAAACGGTCCACCCAGACCAGAATAACGACGTCTACATCCTTAACCTCATAGATGTAGCCTGTGCCTCCATCGTAGCCTCCATGCCAGCTTACTACCCCCTGCTCAACAACATCTACAAATGGGCCCGCGACATCCTCAGCCCCTCCGATGATTCCTATTTCACAACAACCAACTTCTCCAAAAACATCTACACCAACCCGGTCGTTTCCTACGTGTCCCGCATCGTGCATCCGGAACGCCATGCTCCCAATCCTTCCTCGAACCTTGATCGTGTCTCGGGGAACTACTACCTAAGTCAAGATAGCACCAACACACTGGGCGGGCCTGAATTAATCACAACCGCAAATGCGAATGCAAAGGGGACGGTTAGCACGCTATCATCGAATGGTGCTAAGAATGGAGTCATAGTAATAGATGAATTTGAGTTGGAGGAGGGGCTGGCGGGGGTTAATAAAGGAGCACATGGACCGGCTCCATAATGCCAAACCCGTCTAGTTGTTGATTCTCCTCCCTTTTCCGGATCTCGAATCGATCGAGGGTACAGGTTATGTTGAGCTGGAAAGAAATGAAGGGCTTCTTGGCTGCTGGAACAGACCTGGAACAGGGAAGATGATTTCAGCGACCAACCGCACCGCCACTGAAGACCCAGATCTTACCTATAGACGCCGCACGCGCTGTCGTCGTTGCATCGGAATGAGCCTTGGAACAGGCAAACGACGTTCAGCTCCAAGCTAAAAGCTCTACACCAGCTACGCTTTCATCGACGTCGTTCATTGATTATGTACTGCAGAGATGAATGTAGAGTGAGAGAATGAGCAAAGTACGCTCTAGCCGTACGCAAGCAGACGAAAGAACTCACACCGAACTATGGCCCAAGGATCCCAAAACCGCCCATACCTGTCCATATCTCCGCTATCACATGAGATTTGAACGCTATCAGTAGCTGGAAGGAGAGTTGGGCCGAGTACCATAATGCGTTTATGCGTAGGTAGTTTCGAGGGAAGAAGAATGCGTAAAAGGGAGAAATACTCTATACTGTGCAGTCATTTGCTTGAAAATGTACGAGAGCCTAGAAATACTTCTCCCTCATCAATACCTAAACTATTTAGGGATGAATATTACAAGAAAGAAGTGTTGAATTTGCCCATAAAAATGTGAAAATGTTCTTTTCATGTCTGGACCCGGTGCTCAATCCGGAGATTTGAGCATGGCTAGGCCTGCTTTTCACACTCTTAAGATAATTTCTTCAGAGTACTCATAAAAGTCCTGGTTGCCCTCTACTCCACACCTATAAGGGCAAACCCAACAGATGGTTTGGGTATTGATGAGGGAGAATAGAGAAGTTGTTCCGGCCCATGTACTGTATATTTTCAGTAAATGACAGCATAGTACCTAGGTATAGAGTAATCCCCCTCTTTCACGCATTTTCTTCCCCTTGAAGCTACATATACCTACATAGGTACTTGGGTACCTTACCTTACGGGCCCAAGGTACGCATAAACGCATTGTGATACTAGGCCCAACCTTCCTTTCAGCTTCTTAGGTAGAGGGTTCAAATCTCCTGTGGTACTGGCGGTATAGACAGGTATGGCGGGTTTTGTTGGCCTCTTTACTATTGGTGTGATGTATGGGTCCGGTGATGAACCGAGATGCAGCACCGAAAACATATTTCTCGAAGTCGAGATATGTATGAAGCTCGTCCATCGTCGACCGGTTCCTAAATAATTTCCCAAATGGGAAGTACTCTAAACAAAAGGGGGGAGGGGAGGATACTCGAGTAAAGAGGTGGGGCAAGTACCTCCTCTTCCGTAATACGGAGCGTGAAAAACAGCCTTGCAGCAGATTTCCGCGGGGTAGATTTAGCGTTGTAATCCTGCGTGGATGACTGGTCGGATAAGGCGTTCTCTCTTCTCCCCTGCGAAAATTTGTTGAAAGTACCATCACCATCTGGACATCTCCTTGGAGAACGATGAATTGACTTGTGTATATCTCAATTGATAAAACTGATATGATATAATGGATCAGTTCATCCCCTCAATGAGAATTATATTATACGAGTAATATTCTAACAATTTTATCACCACCACCACCACCATCCACAACTCCGCATCCCGCTCGCTATCCATCCATCCCACCAGCCTCGTCAATCACCAAGACACAAACCACAAATATCATTACCATCCCTGCCATCCCATCCATCCATCCATCAATCAATCAATCAATACCAAAACATGCCTCCCACCTCCCTCCTCACAGCCACCAACGCAACATCCCACATCCACCTAATCATCGGCAGCAACCCCCTCGCCGCAACCCGCTGCACGAAATCCCTCCAAGCCGGCGCGAAACCGCTGCTCATCGCGCCGGAAACCGCAGAATTGCATTACGCGCTGCAGAAGAGGGTCGATGGCGGCGAGGTGCAGTGGTTGAAGAAGGAATTTGCGGATGGGGATGTGTTGGGGTTGGGGAGGGAGGAGATTGGGGGGGTTGTGGATGCGGTTTTCGTCACGATGGGGGCTAGGCATGTGTTGAGTGAGTAGGAAGTTTGTTTGATTTGCTTTATTAATAGTGATTGTGATGTAATGGATTGTAATGAATGCTAATGGATAGTTTGTACCTAGGCGCGCACATTTCTCAGCTCTGCAAACGCAACCGCATCCCGGTCAACATAGCCGACTCCCCCACCCTCTCCTCCTTCTCCCTCCTCTCCGCACACACCGATGGGCCACTGCAGATCGGCGTAACGACTAACGGCCACGGCTGCAAACTCTCCTCTCGCATCCGCCGCGAAATCGCCTCATCGCTACCCTCTCAGCTAGGAGCAGCTTGTTTACGACTCGGGACGATCAGGCGACGCATACAAGAGGAAGACCATCTGTCGAATAGCAGTGGAGTAGACGAAGAAGAAAGCATAGACCAAGCAGCATCCTTTAATAGACTCGTCACAGAAGCCGACCTCGACGCCGCGAAAAATAGACGCATCCGCTGGCTGTCTCAGATCTGCGAGTACTGGCCCCTCCGCCGCCTCGCTGCCATAACCGATGCGGATGTAGAGTCGGTGCTGAAATCATACGGGTCGACCGCTGCGCTCGATAGCACAAAAGGGAGCGCCGAGAAGAAAGGCAGGATTATACTTGCGGGCAGCGGACCTGGACATCCTGATTTACTCACGCGCGCAACGCATAAAGCACTGTTATCCGCAGATGTGATCCTGGCAGATAAACTCGTCCCATCCGGCGTCCTCGACCTAATACCCCGCCGCACACCCGTACATATCGCGCGCAAGTTCCCAGGCAACGCAGAACAAGCGCAGACGGAGCTCCTAGAACTCGGGTTGGCAGGGCTGAAGGCCGGCAAAACGGTATTGCGGTTGAAGCAGGGAGATCCGTATATTTATGGGCGTGGAGGAGAGGAGTATGAGTTCTTTCGAAAGGAGGGCTTTGAGGGCGTCATTGAAGTACTGCCTGGTATAACGAGCGCGTTGAGCGCGCCTATGTTTGCGGGGATCCCGGCTACGCAAAGGGGTGTGAGTGATCAAGTTTTGATATGTACGGGGACAGGGAGGAAGGGGAAACCGAGTGTGCCGCCTGAGTTTGTGGGACGCGGACGGTAGTGTTCTTAATGGCATTGCATCGGATTGAGGCGCTGGTGAAGGATTTAACGACGTGGGAGTCGGATGATGCGATTGTTGTGACAGCGGATGGGGCAGTGGATAAAAGTAGGAAGCTTTGGCCGAAAACTACGCCGTGTGCGGTAGTGGAGAGGGCGAGTTGTCCGGATCAAAGGGTTATTAGGACGACGTTAGAGTTTGTGGCGTTAGCGGTTGAGACTGAGGGAAGTAGACCGCCTGGGCTGTTGGTGTTGGGGAATGCGTGTGAAGCGTTGATGAAGGGGGATGTTGGGAGGAAATGGGTTGTCGAAGAGGGGTTCAAAGGGTTCGAGGAATTTGGCGTGGTGGGTGTCGAGGAGCTTGTTCTAGGTGAGAATAAGGATCGGCCGGAAGGTATTGTGAGGGGTGATAGTTTCGGGAGGGAGTTGAAGGTTGATCTGTAAAGTAATGCCATGTCCTGGTATGTTGTATTTTGCATAGCGCGGGTATAGAAAGGCACCTAGTCCCATCTCGAACTCCATGATTTGCTCATCCCTCATGCTTCATTAACCGTTGCGTTGTCCCAGTAATCCCTCGTCATCCATCCAACCCCAATGTGCCCAATAATCCACCCCTCATTCATAATCTCTCCCCGCCACCCCCGCAACACTCATCCTCAACTGCCTCTGCCGCTGCTGACTCTGCAACCCCAACCTCTCAACCGCATACCCCAATCTCTCCTTCTTCCCCCTCAACGCCTTCAACCTCAGCGCCTTTTCCTCTCCCCCTCCACCTGCACTCATACTCCTCCCCCCTTTCATCAACCTCTCCACACTCCTCTTCTTCCTCAGCCCCTCCTCCCTCCCCTCCAACCGTCCCTCCAGTAACTCGCACCGCGCCACCAGCGCCGCCTCCCGCCTCTCTAGCTTCGATACGTGCATCTCGCAGCGCGCGAGCAGCGTTTCGATGGCGGGCGCAAGTTCGGTGGCGAGGGATTGTTGGGCAGAGTGCAGAGTTGTGGAAGGTGTTAATTCGAAATGCTGGGGCGGGGCAGTTAGTAAAGACGCTTGGTTAACTAAGCAATAAACAAACATTGTTCATCGTATAAATAAACAACCAAATGATATCAAAGACTGATTTCTCGAGGGAAGAAGATAATAAACGGGCACAGGAAAGCATATCACAGAGACGAGACGAGACTACATACCCGTGTACTGCTCAGAACTTTCTTCAGTCTCGGGAAATCGGAAATGCCGGAATCCAGGATGCTGATTGAGGAGTCGAGGAGCGTGAGCGAGGAGCGTAGGGAGGAGACGGATGCGGAGAGGGAGGCGAGGGATTGTGATTGTGAGTTTGAGTTTGATTGGGTGTAGTTGGAGGAGAAGAGCGTTGTTGTGTTGTTGTTGTTCATTTTGACGGTTTTTGGGATGAAAGAATGGAGGAAGCGGGGTTGGTTGTGGTTGTGGTTGTGGTTGTGGGTGGTGGTGGTTTAGGGGAGAGGAGACGCGGCATGTAAATATTGAGGCGCGTTGTTTATTAAGGCTTGGCGCGGATTAAGAAATTGGAGGGGTGGGTTTAGCGTTGATTTACTATTGAAGTAC